TTACCCCACACAGGCACAGCCCACTGGCACTGGAGACAAGGAGGCAGACAAGGAGGCTGAAGGTGCTGTAGGCTAGGAGAAGCATGTTGCGCAGCAGCAGTGGCTGCTTCCCCTACTCTGCAAGCACCAGGGGCGGGGGGCTCAACCCTTGGCCCACCCATGCCACCCCTTCCCCAAAGCCCCCACTATTAACCCGCCTCTTCTCCCGTCCCCTCCCCCTTTACTCTGCACGTGGCGTCCTCTCTCCTTCCCCTCCCTCCTGCCCGCGGCAATCAGCTGGTTTGCGACGTTCAGGAGGCAGGAGGGAGGAGCGAGTACTCGGCGCACAGGCTCCCCCTTCCTCCCCTGCCTCCTGCCCACGCCAATCAGTTGGTTTGCGGTGTTCGGGAGGCAGGGGAGGGAGGGGGAGCCTGTGCGCCGAGTCCTCGCTCCTCCCCCTCCCTCCTGCCTCCAAAACGCCGTAAGCCAGCTGATTCCCGTGGGGGGAGGAGGGGGAAGGCGTTGATCCACGGGGTCTGCTGGAGGGCAGAAGGTGCTGTGGGCGGGGGGGGGGCGCGTAGGAGAGCTGATGGGGGGGCTGCCAGCTGTGGACAAAGCAGGCAGCCAAACGACATTATAGCAAAGCATTACACAACTTTAAATGGAGCATGTTCTGTAATTGAGCAGAGATGTAAGATCAAAAGAATGTTAAGCGAGAGGACCTTAAGTGGGAAGTTACTGTACACAAGAAACATCCACCACAAGACAAAATGCAATACAGTCTAAACTAACTATGCAGAGTCATCCAGAGTAATTCCAAACAAATAGAGAATACAATAAAAGTGTTTTGTGACACGTTGGTAGGAAAAAAGCTATACAAAGTTTGCGAAATAAACTTTCCTCCTTATGGAATAATGCTTGTAAGGACTGACAAAAAATTAACAATTATTTCTTTGCAGTTATGGAAATAGGCACCTCTATACAAGATGGATGAGTTTATGTAAATAATATTTTAATATACTATGTTCAAATTTA